TCAACTAATCTCCAGTGTATTCCTGTATTGCAAGGGCTTGGACTAGATGACCCTTGGGGTCCCTTCCAACTCTACAATTCTATGATTCTATGTATGCTCAGGAACTGGTCATATTATTTCACATAGAGAATGACATGATTAAAAAAACCACCCATTAAATGTACAATTGTTTGGATATCCCTCCAACCACAGGGCAGGATTTCCATTTCACTTCACCAGTCATGATAGCCAACATATCAGCCACAGATTGTTGACCTGTTGTCTCCTTTAAACATAGAGAGAGAGGCAGGGGAGATCAGCTGTTCTGCTAAGATAGCTGGAGAAAAGGAGGTGACTGGCTTTCCTGCGTGATATCTGGTGCTAGGTTTGGGGGTGAGCTTTGGGCAAGGGAAAATATCACCACCGTTATTTCTGTGGATAAATGCATTGTCCTGAAACACGGCCATTCTAGATGAAATTAATTTTTGTAGATGTAAATGGTTTTCATAGTTTTAATGAACGTAGAGCACAAAAAAGGCATTATTTCTGCTTCTTACAATCCTTCAGATAAAATCTTAGAAAAACACATATTTAGAAGCATAGACAAGGTCATCACCACCTTTTAAAGAATCTTATACAGTGGTGCCCCGCAAGACGAATGCCTCGCAAGACGAGTTTTCCGTTTTTTGAGACGAATTTCCCTATGGGCTTGCTTCGCAAGACGAAACGTCTTGCGAGTTCTTGCGAGTTTGTTTCCTTTTTCTTAAAGCCGCTAAGCCGTTAATAGCCGCTAAGCCGCTAATAGCTAAGCCGCTAATAGCCGTGCTTCGCAAGACGAAAAAACCGCAAGACGAAGAGACTCGCGGAACGGATTAATTTTGTCTTGCGAGGCACCACTGTATGATCTAAGACTTGGTCCATTTCCGTGATTTCATTTTGAAGAGTATGTTATGCTTAGTCCAAGCTTATGCCTGTTAAGGGGGGGGGGGTGTTTGGAAGCAAAAGCAAAGGTTTGCATGCAATATTCTATTAACCCAGACTTTCCTGACATGTTACACATTTACTTTTGGAGACGAGTCTTTTTAATGCCGTCTTTATCTGCTACACGATGCATGAAATCTACTTTCTGTTTTAGAACTGCAAATGACCCTTGACCCCTTTAGTGGAGACACAATGTGACCTTTCTATTGTCATCAGCTTTCATTCTCTTGAAAATTCTATGAATTTTTATTACAAGTTTTTTTAAGCCAAGCTGAGGCTTCAACAAATTACTTGACACAGATGAGATGAAGTTGTTGAAGTAGTGTTAGATAAGTTTTACAGCCAGCATGTGTGCTGCTGAACAGTACAAAGCCAGTGTCCTACAATGTCATACACCAGTAACTGCTGAGCCTACTATTGGATAAATACATCATTTTATGGAACATTGATTGTTCTATAAACCCAATGGAGTATTATGCTCTATGATCAAACCATTTAGATTGTGTGTAGAGCACAGAAAATGCCATATTCAGGATGGTACTAAAAGTGCCATTTGTGTATTTTATGGATGTCATTACAGGGGAAACTTCCCTCTGTAGGCCCTGTTTACTGCAAAAAATTTTAGACTGTAATGACATTTTTCATTCACAACGTATGCCTTCAAGAGAGGGGGCCCTTGTTTTATTTGTTTCATTCGAGTTGACTGCACAAATCCTGTACATTTTAATTAAATGTGAGCTTAACAAAAGAATAAGGTATTTATTCTGGGAGGGTGGGGGGCAGGGAAATGAAGACGGTAACAAAAAACAATACAGACACACACCAGAAAGCAGTCTGTCCCTGGGTTCAAAAATGCAGCTAAACCTCATTTGTACTCTTTATGAATCACATTAAACAAAGCATATCTTGCACTCTCGTTTAGCTAAGTAGGTGGCCTTTAAATATGAATAAAATGTGCAAATATAGATCTAATATGCTAAAATATTTGACATTTTTAGATTTTGAAAAAAAGAACAGCTAAAAATGCCAGTTGATAAATAAGGAATCTGTTGAAAATACAGAATTCTTGGAAAGAAACCAATTCTGTGATCATGGTACCTGTAGATATGAAACACCTCTATGGGGTTCTCTCCCCCCTTGGTTAGCATTGTTGCATCATTGTATTTTGTCAGTTTATAATGTATTTCTGTTCATTTTCACTTTTTAATGACAGGCTATCAGCAGCAAGTACAGCTTTGTAATATTAATATATTTTTTGCAGTTAAGTTTTATATTTGGCATGGCAAATATTTCCTATTCTCTTCCCCTGTCTCCAACAACACTGCCCCCAAATAAAATGTTAAAATGCAAGATTTTTGTAATACAGCTTCACTTGATATTACATTTGGAATGGTGATGTTTATAACTAAAGTGAAAATAAAATAAATGTGTTGACTAGGAAGGTTAAAAATACATCTTGCCATAACTAACCCTCAAAACACACCTTTAAAATTGCATATTTCCTCTATTAGATTCAGTCTTCTCAAAACAAAGGAAATCCATTCAATTCCACATATTACATTTACCATGAAGATCACTAAAATTGAAGTTGATGTTCCCAATAAATTTTTGGTCCAGTTAAAATTTAAACTTACAGTACAGATTCCCATTAGTTTAACTGACACTTGAACTTCTACACAGCTCAACATTAATTCATTATAGTTGAAATGGAAGAATCTTCAGTGGGTGAATCTTTTACAATCTGATTGAGGCTGTTACATTTTATAGGATCCATTTTTCAAAGCACTACTGACAGCACTCGAAGTTATTAAATTGCTGAATCAAAAGATGGACCTGCAATCGCATTTATGAACTGTGATGGAATAGCTGGGGTTGCACTGAGCCGAGGTTAAGATGTTGGTGTAGTTAAGCTTCATCACACCCCTTTAGTGACAGCAGTATTTACCCATGTAGTTTACTTTAATGGTCAGGAAGTGGCTTAACTCACCTCTGGATTCAAATAGATTAAGCAAGCAGTCAGAATGGCATAATTATCAGTGCTGCAAGGAATTTACAGGATAACTCAACCCCCACGGGACTTCCCATTCAATTGCCGAGTAAAGACTGGAGATGCATAAATTCACAGATGCAGCATTTACCTCAGAAGCAAAGGAAGGGGATGTCTTTCTTTATCTTCTTCCCTTTTTACTTCCCTAAATATCACAATCTCATATTGTGTGTGTCCATTGTAAGATTTTGATCTGAGGAATTATTTTGACTGATGGCTACATAAAAATAGGATTTGTGGTGGTGTTTGGATTTGAGACCATATCATTGCAAGGCTCATCTTACATCATGTCAACAAAGCCAGACTCCTGAGAGAATTAATTACGCTGATTCTATTATGAAACACAGATGAGTTCTGATTTTTTTCTTAATTGTCCCTTTGTGCTGATTTTCTCCTTTCTACTATTTCTCCAAGTTGAATGCCTTGAGTATGCTCATGCCCATAGAGACAAACAGTTATAAAAAGACATAGCCGCCATTCTGTTTCCCTGTCTTCCTTGCCAAAATTTAATTAATCAGTGAGTGCCGGATCAATCATGTTGTATCATTTGGGGGGGGGCACTTTTCAACCGTTTAAATTGTTCATTAAAAAAAAGGAAGGCTTTCTCCTGACTTGAAATCTAAAATTAAGATGGTACGGTACAGTACACAGTTTTCATGGTGAGCTTGAGTCTTTCAGCTTTAGCAGCAGCCATGGAAATATTTAGCAACTTGAACTACAACTGCATTACATTTAAAATACCATGTCCTAGAACAGTGATGGGGAATCTTTGGCTCAGGGGCCAAATGGAGTCCTTTGTGGGTCTCCGTCTGGCTTTTGTGTCATGGAATTCTACTCACTATTGATCCAGAGCAGAACCAGACCAGAGGCAATTAATATTTCATCCAGCAGAGCTTCACTACTACTGAAGGCAAATGAGCATAATGGTCACAAATCCAATAAATTCAGCATTGGGGAAAGTATTGGGAACCTCAGGTCTGGTGGCCAAATCTGCCCTTCCAGGCCCCTCTATTGAACATTCCCTGGGCCACATGCCCTCTCTTCGGGCCACACCCCTCCCTGCTTCACACTCTGAATATTTTCGTTTGGGTAGAATGCTTAGCGTTACACTGATAAAATGGCTTTTTCTTCCAATTTGTATACAAATCTAGGCTATAGATTTTCTTTCAAGCTAAAAGCAGTACAGGTGTCACGATCTCATTCTGATAAAGAGCTCTTTCCTCATAGTTCCCCTTTCCTCCTCCCTCCCCCCCCCCGGGCTTTGTGCCTGGCTTTGAGGTTTATATCCTGGCTTCTTAAACCACAGTTTCTCATGACATCCAAGCCAGGAAACTCTGGTTTCATCATTCACAACATGGCTTGTAACAGTGATGAAACCACACATTTCCTTGCTCAAGTGTCATGTGAACCCGTTGTTTAATAAGCCGTGTTAGAAGTGCCAACACTGGGCACATGAGAGGAGGTGAGCAACAAGGGGGGATTTCATTTGTTATACTACCTTTTACTCAAGGAGCTCAAGGCAGCATACATGGTTCTACCCTTATCTCATCCCAACAACAGAGGCATACACTTTATTCTGGGGTTGATAAACCATGGCCCATTGGCTTGAAATTGTGACAGCTGGGCCAGTGTATTTCCTTTCAGAAATAAGCACAACAGATAACTGAAACCGACTTTGTTCAAGTGAAATCAATGTCATTAATAACATTCCTTTTTTAAGGCACTGTGGCTATGGTATGTATTACTACAGTTGGAAAGATTTCAAATTCCCAAGCAACTTGAATAAAAAGATAGTTTTCTAATAATGACTGGGTCTTCTTTATTAATAAATTCAGTGCTGTTTGTTTCATTCAGATTTGTTTCATTTGCCAGAATGTAATCAGTTTAAAAAAGCAAAATATAGAAATATGACTGCCTGTTTTTTTTATAAAAAAAAATCTGTATCTTTTATTATGGTGATAAAATGCTATGCATGATAAGTTTCAAGACTCACATTCTGATGATTCTGGTCCAGACCGCTTGATGTAGACACAGCCTTTAGAAATCTCCTTTATAGATCTCAGAATGGTCACTGATGAAAGCAGGTTTCTGAACACAGTGGACCCAACAGGGCTCTTTGTTTTGTTTCATCTTGTTTCTGGATATTCACTTTGGAAATAATGATACAGTATTTATTTAGACCGGTACTTAAATTATTGGTTTAATTTGCAATTTAGACCCCCAAAATATTAATTCAGATTATTAGTATTTTGACTTGGTATTTCCCCCCATTTTCATCTTTAAACCAACCTTTCCTTTTTTCTTTTTAGGCATAGTTTCTAAGTCATACGAATGCCGGCTGAAGGGTCAGGGAGCTACATTTGTCGAAACCACCAGCCCTTTCACCACTGCAGCCCTTGATGAAATTTCTCCAATTAAAGATAAGTCCCTTCATGATGGCAGAAGACACCTGCAATCCACTGAACAAGTTCAGCAGGTGATTATTATTCAAGGATATGACAGCGATTTTGCAATTGATGCCTCAGTGGAGGAAACCGCAGCGGCTACGCTTCAGACTTTGGCAATGGCTGGCCAAGTGGCACGGGTTGTCCATATTACAGAAGATGGACAAGTTATAACCACAAGTCAAAATGGCTCTCATGTGAGCACCATGATTCCAGGGCAAATACTCGCTGAACAACTGTCAGATGGGAAGACACAAGTGGTGGTTGTTGAAGGCCCTCTGGGAGGAAATGATATTGAAGATGCTGTTTCCATAGGAACAGCATCAGACCCTAGTAATACCATGGTGCAACAGATAATGAGACGAGAAATTTTAGAACCACCTGATGTAACTAGAGTACACCCGCCTGAGTCTGCCTCAGCACTAGATGCCTTGCTTTGTGCTGTAACAGAGCTTGGTAAAGCAGAGAACAAAGCAGAACTCCTTGACAGGGCACGATTTTGTCACAAAGAAGCATTACAAATGTCAAATCCAGAAGCAGACATTGTTTGCAATGACACTACGGCACAGGAAACACAAATGTTCCATGAAGCTCAAGAGACCGAGGAAGAGCGAGAACCCATGGAAGTAGTAACGCAGGTTGTGCACCCATCTACCATAATTGCATCTCAGGAGAGAGCTCAGGTCACCTTCAAGAAGATGGTTGAGGGAGTGCTCCAGTTTGCTGTGTGTGATACAGCTGCAGCTGATCAACTGATAAAAGAAGGTGTCACTCAGGTTATCGTGAATGAGGAAGGAACGGTGCATATGGTGGCTAGAGAAGGTTCTCAGATAATAATGCAAGAAGCTGGCAGTCATGCCCTAAGGGTCCGAAGTGAACACATGGACCTGGTTGAGTCTGATGGAGAAATTTCACAAATCATTGTCACAGAGGAAATCGCTCAAGCCATGGTTCAAGATTCTAACGCCAATTTCTCTGATGGTCCAACCCATTACATTGTAACAAGATTACCACAGGAGATTGAGGATGAGTCTGGAGTATACTCACATGCTGTGATAAAGACAGATGAGCAGGAAGAGATTGTGCAGACTGGTACTGTTATAAATTCCAATAATGTATGTGATGGAAATGCTGAACACCTAGCTAGTATGGTCATTTTTACAGAAGATTGCTCACAAACAGCTATTATCCAGGGCCAAAGAGATAACAATGAACTACAAGAAGCATGAAAGAACTCTGTCTTTATGGGTTTGATAAAAGACAACATTGAACATTTGGTGACATGATATTTCATGTTTAATTTCTAAAGCATTCTTTAATGGTCTTTGTCCATCCAGGTACTCAACACATTTTGTGTGAAGTTAGCAAGAGCAGAATGCTAAACAGAAAGGGAATTGTCCATTTTTGCATAACTAATGTTGAAATTTGAGTACAAATATTGACAGGTTTACAAAATAAAATTAAAACACCAAAGGTATCAATTTAATTCTCTTCATTAGTTTGGTTAATTTTGTTTGCCAGTTCATTGCATTATGACATAGTAGACTTAAGTCTTTCTTGCAATTAATTATGTTAAACTTGACTTGTATGTATTTGCATATGGAGAGCAAACTAATATACGTGCACCCATATTACCTAGTTGAGCCACACATTGACAATTTGTAAATTGAAGTAGGATTCTACATATGCAATCATTTCACATTCACAAATTGGTCAGGCATTCCAAACAACCCAGTTATTCCTACTCAAAATACAGAGTTTCCAATCTCATGACATGTGTTAACTTACCTTTCTTTGAATATATTAGGCTTTTTTAATTGCTCCCCCCCTCATTTGACTTCAGTCAATCCTCCAAGATCAAAACTTAACAAAAACCTCTGTTGAAGTTTTCACAAAAGAACCTGTTGATTCAGAAAGGCCTTAATACCTATAACTTTTATATACAGTAATGACTTCATTTGAAATCTTTATTCAGTTTTTTTTAACTAATAGAGCTTCACATATCTACAATTCTGCAGTTCATTTTGTGAATGACTTTTGGAAACATTAGATAAGGTTTCTTCTATATAAAATTCTGCCATTGACCTTAACAAGTGGGAAAGAGTTGATCTGGCATTTATATCTGGATCAGAATGTTGATTATCTAGTTATGGATAAGTTCTGAGTTTTCAGTGCAAGCTCCTGTTTAAAAGATCCAAATGCTTTTGTTTTGTCTAAGAAATCTAAACTATGATATGGATGGGGTTGGGTTGTTTTTGTTCTTTTTTTTCAATAAAACAATAGCACTAAAAGGAGTATTGTCATTTTTAAAAATATTAGGCCGTCATTCCACACCCAGGGTACTCACCAGAACTTAGTTGAGTTGGGATGGTCACCATAGCCAGGTGCTGGATCTCTCTGTGTCCCTGTGTTTGCTTGGCTGGAAGGGATGAAGGAATTGCAACTATTAGGTGTACTTGTTTGTTTTGGTGCAAAGGGTATAAATCAAGCAGAATTCATGTTCAACTTCAGACTGAACTTCAGACCACCAAATATAGAAAACACAGGGCACAGTAGTCTATTCTAGAATTAACTGCTTAAACATCTATATCCCAGGGTGCTGCATAGAACACGTGCTTGTATGCAGGGTGGCAGATACTTTGCTGTTGTTTTTATTTTCCAGGTTGGATATGTCAGATCAGCCAAAAAGGGGGGTGGGGAGAGAGAAAGAGAAAGAGAGAGCATAAAAAAGACACTGAGATTCATAATTAGCCGAGTTTGACTTGCTCATCCTTCTTAAATGTGACAGGCTGCTCACTTCTTCTTAAATACTGTCTTCAGCAAACGGTGACAGGATCAACTTCCGTTTGTTATCAGGATAAAGGTGACCTTTACAAAATGATGGCCCTCTGCAAGATTCTCACAGATGCTCAAAGGAATGTTTTTCATTGAAAAGATTTCTTCTTGATCATTTTGCCTGTTAACTGGAGCCCTCTGGTCTTGTGGCTTGGATGCTAATTCTTAGCTATGCTCAGTCCTGTATGGCTAACCTTTCCGCTGCAGTACAGGGTGTTGACATTGACATGCTGCAGTTTACCATTTGTGATTTATTTAGGATAAATATGTCTCAGGTGGCATTTAATCCTTCATAAAACCAGTGTAGCCTGCAGTGTCAAACCAGCAATCACATTGTATGCACAATGAAAAGAGCAGACCTTTGCATAAAGGTGGGGGTGTGCGCAAGAAGTGTTCTCCGGCTTGGGAGTACTGAGAATGGATTCTCTGGAATCCTAGATTAATAAGACATGTCCCTTTGCCTAGGAGCAGATCCTGTCTGTTACCACCCAGCTCAGACCACTGCCCGCTCTGCAGCACGTTACTACAGTAGATTAAACATACAGGTGCATGTCAGGAATTGGGCTTCTGCTCATTCATAAACACTTAAAACATATTTCTTTGTCAGCAGAAACTCTTCCATAGTTGCACATGCTATTGAATTTTCTACCTTGTTTGCTTCCCATGTTTTCAATTCCTCCAGAGTAGGAGAAAGTGCAACATCCAGGGATGTAGCTCCCAAGGTGATATCTTAATTTATACATGACAGGTGCATTCTCCAATCCAGAGTCCCCAAGGTATCTGCTAGAGATGGAGGACTGAGCAGGAAAAAGTTGGCTGAAGCTCAAATTCCATCAGTCAGTTCCTACAACAGAGCTGACATCCCACTACCAAAATTGGGCCTGACCAAGTCAGAGACTCCACGTTGCTTACAATTCTCAGCATGCCTAGCAAAATATGAACATATACAGCCTCAGGCATTAAACTAGGTCCTAGTGCCTGTCAACCATGCAGAATTGGGCTAATGGCAGTTGTAGTCTGATGGCTTTTGGAAGGCACTTTGTTTACCATCCTTGTCCTACTGTCTTAAGGCCAGTAAGAAGTTCTTGGAATCCTAAACAATGAAATGATTTCATGGACCATTTTTGCCAGAGGTACAGAAATGTAGGCTTGGCTTACTAGCCACCATCTATTTGGCCACGCTGCCAACTCCACCCCAGCCACACACATACCCAACTCCTTTGGCATAAGCTTTAATATGAGCTGCTCTGAACAGTTTCAAATGGCGTGTCGTAGCATCAGAACAAGGGGGATGATTGTGAAGAGGGTAACTGTGCAAGTGCAGTGTATTTTCCTTCACTGCAGCAAGTTCCAGCTGAGAAGGCAAGGCTCCTTGGTTGATATGAGCCAATTGATCTTCTCTTTGTAGAAACTTAACAAGTAGGAGAGAGGGGAAATGGAAAGCTCTCCATCAAATAGCTGCAGCCTTCCCCAGTGAAACACATACCTTCTAGCATACTGTCTCCTGCCACATTTTGGAAGAAAAGTACCTTGAAAGCAAATTCTTAAAAGAAACACCTGAAAATTCTTTTTAGCTAAAGTGAAACCAAAAAAGCCCAAAGCTAAATGCTGTTCTGTCTCCCAACCAGATGAGGTTCACCATGGAAGTTAGATGAACTGGAGTCAAATAGCTGATGTGCCAAGAGGTCTGCACATGTGGGTTGTGAACATTGCTGCAGGCATTGTTGTCATTTATAAATGCTATCTTTGCAACCACAGTGTTGATGGCAAAATCCTTCAAGAGATGTATTTGTTATGATTGTAGGCACAATTGTGTTGGGGTAGTGCTTCTTCCCAATGAACTTGCTTGCCCAAGGCTTGCCCAAGTTTGCATTGGAACAATCTCCCCTTTTAGAAAAAAAACACAGGGGACCAAGAGGTAGGGGATTGAGCTACTGGCAAGATGAGAAGACTCGGCAGTAGCAAGTTAGCCCCAACAGAAACAACATTTTTTGGCCAGAACTTTCTGCCTTGTATGTTTCCTGAGCAAAACTGTTATAAAGAAACCCAGAGAAGAAAAGCTTGTCCTGAACTCTAAGGCAGAGTTAAGATCAAGTGAACAAATTATGTAACAGAAAAAGGTCATTCATTGGGTGAAATAAAAATGGAAAAGTGGAATTTTCAAACACATACACACCCTATTTTACACTACAATATTAGCCCATATTTTCAAATAGGTACATGGCTCACTTTAAACAGCCTACTTCTGTTCGATCTTGTTGAAGAATACAATTCTTTTCTCTGCTCCTCTAGGGTGATATCATTTTATATGAGGAAAAAAGTTAGCTCAGATGGCAGTTATGCGTTTCGGAAGCACCTTCTAATCAGGGATTGGTGATTCATTATTAGCTTCAGCAGGCGATCCATCTGACATGTAAGGGGGGGAAATTAGCAGCTGTCACTGCATGATGAGTTAATTTCCTGATAGGTCTGACACTGAAAAGCCATTTGAAGACATGGAGATGGCTGATGAGAAAACCTGGTGCTGCTTTATAATTGGAGAGAAAGAAAGGGCATAGAGACAGAACAATTTGCAAAGGAGGGGTTCAGGCTAAGCTACAAGTGGTGGCGGCTGTTTGGCTGTTTGCTAGAAGGGGCTCTTCACAATCATCCACATTGCTGGGGCACACCCACCTTAGGCACTTATGACCCTGAAATGGAAGCCATCTATTTCCTTGTTGCTTTGTGTTGCTATTTTCAATGGTTTGTAATTAGTGTACTCAGACAGTTTTACTCCTTACAATCTGTGCATATGCCGGGTGCAAGCATGTGGTTGGGTTGTTCTGCGGGTGACATAGAGAGCTGACATTTTAGTGGGAAGAGGAGAAAATGAGGTTCTGCCTCTTGTACTTTTTTGCTGCTATTTTCTGTAATTGCAGCTGCAGATCTCAGTCATAGAAATAAATGAATTTAATCGAAATGGTGATGATGGTGATGGTGATGGTGATGGTGATGGTGATGAAGAAGAAGAAGAAGCATTCCAAGGGGAAGAGATGGTAAAAATAAGCATTACATAATATGAATTGCAAAAAAGTTAGAGAAAATGTCTAAAAAGACTGCTTTCCCGTTCACAACTACCTGGAAGTTTCATTGATTGTGCTGATAATGTACAATCGGAGGACATCTAACATATTCGGTTAATCAGAAGTTTGGATGAATGAAAGCAGCTCTATACTTGGTTATGTATAGATTGAGTTAAGTGGGCAGCATAGACTAATCACATATGACTAATTACACATGTGAACCAGACACTTAACTGTGCAGTCCTATACTGTATATATTTACTCAAAAGTAAATCCACTTGAGGTCATACATGCACATTGGGTGTGTGCACACACATGCAATGGTCCTGATTAAACAAATTCCACCCATTATTATGCTACAGTTTTTCTAGTTTTGCACATAGAAGGGAGATAATCCACTTCCATTGTATTGTACAATAGCAAAGCTGCATTATACTAGATTAAATGAATATGGTGAAGTGGCCAGAACAAACAGCATCACACCATTTTTTCCAGTGGCGTGCGGTCATTGGACTAGAGGAACTAGGCTAGTCCCCTAAATGTTCCCGGTAAATTAGAGTATTAAAGTATTAAAGCCTGGTGACTCCTTCCCAAACCTGGGAAGCTTCTGACTGGTTTAGGGAGGGAGGTACGGTCCTTACACACGTGGTGTCGGGACACCACAACATCACACGCATAACATCCCCTGCCCCATCATCCACACAAGCTAGTGCCTCTGGCCGTAACTGTTCCCCTACAAAAAATTTCACCACACACCACTGCTTCTTTCCCGCATTAGTCCTTTCCCAATCTAGTGGGGCCAGGGCAAGCATTAAAGAAACGGTGCTACCATAGTAGGAGATGACATGGTGGGGCAGCAATGCTTACCTGATCTCCCAACAGCTGAGTCACTGCTGTTCTCTGGGAGGGGGAAGGGCAAGTTGGCAGTGTGTTTGTGCTGTTTGTACTGCACCAACCTCCCTGCTGTCTCACTCTTCTCTCTGCTGGTAAGCAGCAGCGACGCAACAGCCAGGAGGTCAGGTAAACAATGACGACCCGCCACACTGTCTACTACAGCATGAGAGGTCTGTATTCAGCAGCCTTCAATGACACTGCAGGACATGTACGCAGAACCTATAGCCCTCCAAATGACAGTATTCCCAGTAAGCCCCCTTATCATGCCCACACAGTTTTGCAAAACTTCAAGGTTGACAGGGTATAAGGAAATTGCTAGCTGCCTCTCTTAGGTAAAAAGAGATAGCTGCTCCTCACAGGGACGCTTTCTCCAAGGCCCAGCTTGCTGCACATGGTGAGGACAGAGGAACACGCATTCTTCCTCCATGGCTGCCCTTGTCCCAGAGCATCCTCTTAGCCAAGCAAAGATGAGAACAAGGCTGTGTTCCACAACTTACGAAACAACCTTGTGGAGCACTAGCCTTTCTCTCATTATCTAAGCTGGACACAGTGAAAGCAGCAGCATTAGCTCCTAGAACCTACTGATGCAACCACTGGTGTCAAATCCTGGCCCCAGCTGAGAGTGTCAT